TATGATTGAATCCATGATTTTCCTCTTTTTATATCTTCAAGATTTTCTTTCCTGCAAATAAAAATTCCCTACCCCAAGGATCTCCCTACCCTACTCTACATCTTTGCTCTGAGGTTATACAAATATACTTTCTCTTTATGCCATCTTAAAGGTTTATAATAAACACAAGACTGAATTACAAAGGGTGAGGTTTCATTATTTAATAATGTATTTAAAGATGTTTTTCCTAATTCTTTCCTATCATTATTGAACTTTATGTAACCTTAAATACGATAGTGTCCATCTAATTGACACAATTTTTGTATTTCTCAGAAACAGGCACAAAGTTACCAAACTCAACTAAATGGTAAAAAACAGTGCCCAGAAGACAGCAGCTCTGAAATTCCTCGGTTGATATGTGAAGCAGATCCCAAGTGTGAAACGAATGAAAGAGATGAATTCATTATTGAAAAATTAAAATCAGCTGTGAGTGAAATAGCATTAAGCCGGAATAAGTTACAAGATGAAAATCAGAAGCTGTTCCAAGAGCTGAAAATGTACCAAAGACAGTGCCAGGTGAAGATTTATTTTTTTTTTCAACTGATATTGCCCATGGGTTGTATAAATGATGACTCAACAGGCATATGGATTAGAAAACTAATTACAAATTACATGTGTAAATTCAGCGCATTATTTCCTTTTAGTAAGTAATTCTCACTAGATGAGTAAATTCAGTAACACCAAAGGCACTTTATTCCACTAGAGTGCACTTTGGTTCTGCAGTGGCATAATAATAATATATTAACAATGGTCACTTACAGAACTCAATGCCTAAAAATCATGACCCTTTGGCCACACACCACCCTCTGTCCCCATTATTCATTCTCTCTGACCCTGTGCCTCTTTGATTCACAGGAATCCTGGGTTGGAGATCCAGGAAATCATTAAGGGTTCAACAATCTAATAACCTCAATGAGAAGCAAAGGGGTCACTCCCTGTGATTTATCACTGTTAACCATTTTCTACCAGTTCCTCTGTCAGTTGGCCTATTTCTTAGTTCCACTCTATTCCCTCCCCATGTTAAGGTGTACTTTTTCAGGTCACTATCTAAGCAGACTTCCACTTACTTCTCTAAGCTATTCCACCTCAGGATGTGCCACCTTAACTCCCTGGGTCATTTCTTAGTCTTGGGCCAACTCCTCATTCCCCCATCCTGCTACATTCTATGTGGGATTCTATTATACATTGGATTAGTCCTTTAACTGCTTTCTGTGCCAACATCTACTCTTCTCTGTTCCCCTTTCCCCGAGTTTGGAAGGGGACAGAGCTCAAGGCTCCCAGCTTTTCCTAGTCCATGGCATTTCTAAGAGAAGTACACCTCCCCCATCCCAAATTCCAGCTTTATTTGGGTAAGGAGGTGTATTCTACTAGAAATTAGAGTACACGTATAAACAAACAAACCAAGCTAAACCACAAATGCTAGACACTGAGGAAGCCATACATTTTCTAGAAATGGAAAAAGGTAATAATGATGCTTTTCCCTGACGTTGCTATAATATAAACAAGATCAGTCTTACTCTTCTCCACTAGAGGTTGTGCAAGTGGTTTCTAGTTGTGTATCTTGCCCGTCAGCCCACCCAGTCTGTTGGAGCTGGATTTGCAGGACTCCTGGTTCTGATGGGATTCTCTCCCTCTTGGGACTGCTTTCCATTCACCTTTTGTGGTATGGGACAACTGGTCAACTCTCTGGTCCTGATTTAAAGACAAACTTACATTATGCAGCTGTCTTTGTACTGCTGGAGTCTGCGCCAGGATCACAATCAATAAATAAAGTTATTTTTCTGGGCACTTCCTGAATATTCTCCCCCAAGTTTCAGGTTATCCTGCACAGAATGAGGAGTGAGTTCTCTTTGTCCTTTCTTGAGGTCTTTTTGGCTCTGGTCCCTAGAAATCTCTGGTTTGCCTGAAACATGTTTCATTAATGAGTCTGGTTATGAAGTCTGGTTCTACCCTTCAATGAGGTTCAGCTTCTTCACTAACATTAGTCCCTCTTAATCTCCCCCTCAAAGATTTCTTTTTGGACCTGTTGTAGCATCCAAGAATATCCTTTTTTATAGGCTGAGGTTCAGCTTTTGGTTCTTGGCTCCCTTGTAGAATAGAAATCACTACTCTTACCCCATATTCTAGAACGAACCTCTGTTGACCTCTCTGAGCAGTATGACTGACTTTCTCTGTAATGCTTTCCTTCACCAACCCCACCTCTCTCCTTCTCAGAACTTGATCTTTTCTACTTCTCCAGGAAGTAAGTTGGAGAATCTTGTTAAAAGAAGAAGGCTGCAAATAGAGAAAGAGTGTCCATTGATTAACATTAATAAATTAACATTCCCAGTTCAGATTACAATCTCTATCCTCTTTTCAAGTAAATGTCTGAAGCCTGTGTTTCTCACACTTATCACACTGACACACTCCTACTGATAAAAAGAGAGAAAGGAGCCGGCTGAGTAGCTCAGTTGGTTAAGAGCTCGCTCAAGAGTTTGAGCTCTGAGCAACAGCGGTTTGAGTCCTGGCTCGAGCTGAGCAGCCACTGAGCTGCCAACAGGTGGCAGGATGGCTCAGCTGAAAAAATTTAAAAATAAATAAATAAATAAATAAATAAATAAATAAAAGAGAAAGTATGACCTAACCTGAGAGTCTGGACATGCAGCAGGAAGGTACTCAAGCCACCCAATGGCCAAGGCCACCCTGTCCTGTAGCAATATCATTTAATTGACTTACCCTCCTGACCCAGATCAACAGGATATGACTCACCTCTCATCCCAAGATCTCTACAAACTTCCAGGGGCTTACACATACTTCTGAGAAAGCTCTGTGGGTTGTCTGAACTAAGGACGGTCCCTGTTACCCACTTTGACTTTTCCTTATGTATACATATATTAATGTACTTAATAATTTATTAATGTTTCTGAATATTTAATAACAAAATAAAAACCCAGTTATTCATAGGAGTCAATATAATTGTGAAATATTTGTATTGATATTTATACTAAAGGTTATAAAATAACAGTATTAATTTTCTAATTGTTATTACTTTTCTTTAAATCAGTGTTTCTCTACTGGGGTGAGTTTGCACCCCAGGTAACACTTGGCAATGCCTGGATACAGTTTTGGTTGTCACAACAGGGGAAAGCGGTATTAATGGCATCTAGTGGGTAGAGACTAGAGATGCTGTTAAACATCCTACAATGCACAAGACAACCCCCGCAACAAAGAATTACCCAGACCAAAATGTATTGGGTTGTAGGAAAAGTCATGATGCATTTTCGCAATGAAAAACATAGAAAAAATATGTCATGACTTTTCTGACAACCCAATACATAGTACTGAGGCTAAAAAACATTGCTTTAATTTTTTTTTTTTTAGCTGAGCCATCCTGCCACCTGTTGGCAGCTCAGTGGCAGCTCAGGTTGGGCCAGGAATCAAACCGCTGTTGTTCAGAGCTCGCACTCTTGAGCAAGCTCTTAACCAACTGAGCCACTCAGCTGGCCCTCATTGCTTTAAATTTTGAAATATTATTTTTCTCATATTCTTCTAGCAGTTCTCTAACTCTACACTATGATATTTTCCATAGTTAATAATAAATTTCAATGTGGTTGTTATTTATTTATTATCCACCAATTTCTATGAGAAAGTTTACCAAAGTAATTTTTGCAAATTTTTGCTCATTTAAAAAAATAATTAGTTATTCTTGGCTCCAGGAATAGTATTAAATTTAAACTAAGAACTTCCATTTTATATTTTACAAAATAACTGCATGTTTAAAAAAAATAAAAACAAATTATTCTGGAGTATGTGTCACACACACACAAATATGTTATATTCTAATGAAAAGATTTTTGAGAAGTAATTCAGTTCAAATATTCAAGATAAGATTTCTACTCCCAGAAAAACACTAATTATTTTTAATGCATTTAGAAAAAAGTGCTAAAAATAAGGCTTTCATTTAGACTTTTCTCTGTTTTATTTCTAGATTTTACTTATGCTTTATTCTTTTGCTTTAGAATAAATACTAAATGCGACTATATCAATGTCTTATTATTTGGTAGCTAATTTGAAAGTTCAAAATCATGGCTTCTCTCAAACTGTTAGGCAAGTTTCTAACTAAACAGATGGGCCTTAACCTTGTTTTACAAAATTTATATTTTACCAAATGGGAATAATTAGAGGTAAATAATCACTGTAACCAGTGCATGTATTTAGAAAGAAGTTTCTCTTCTTTTTTTGCAAAACTGCCAAATTCAGTATGCCATACCTTGCACATGAATTTTAAAAGACAACCATTTCAATTTGAATTACTGTCACTTATATATAAAATTCTCTTAGTTTACAACACACTGTAATGGCACATGCATCTGAATTTTCACATGAATCACATCTCACTTGTTTCTCTACGACCTTGAAATGTGTCAGCATACATATTAATTCCATTGCATATATTTATTTACTATGCTATACTACATTAACATTTTTTAAATGTGCGATATTTCCCACTGGAGATTAATGACAAAAATAAATTGTGCTACATTTTTTCTAGTATCTATGCCCAAAAACCTTGACCATTTTTTTGTTTCCTTGTTACTATGTCATTAAGGTACTATAGCAACACTGCCCCATGGAAATATAATGCAAGTCACAAATAAAATTTAAATTTTTCTAGTAGCCACATTAAAAGAAGGATAAGAAATGGGTGACATTGATATATAATAATCATATATTTTATTTAACACAACATATATCTAAAGTGTTATAATTTCAACTTGTAATCAATGTAAAAAATTATTAATGAGATATTTTACATTTCTTTTCATATTGAAACTTCAAAATCTTGGTGTATTTTACACTTACAATATATCTTAATTTGAATGCTATGTATTCACTGGAAATACCTCATCTGTACTTGATGTCATAAAATTTACTGTTAAAAAAGTAGATTTACATACTGAAGTTGTTCTAAACCAACTTGAAAATGTTCCAAGAGCTGAAACAAATACCAAAGAATCATTTTTGTGCATATTTGCATCCACATTGAGAAATAATTGATTTGACTGTCATGAAAAAACATGCCAATTTTAAACATCTAAGTTAAATAAATTCACTAATTCTTAGGTCATTTCAATATTATTAATTTAACATTGAATTCAATGGATACTGCATAAGTCATAAAACAACTCTCAATTTATCAATATCAACAAAGCCTCTTGTACTTTTACAGTCAATTTACATACTGCTGTCAATTATAATGAAAACTTTTGCATAGTTTTGCTAGAAAAATGTATCAAATCATTACTATTGATTTGCATTATAAAATTTCAGTTTAACATAAATTCTCCTACTTGTATAGCTACATCACAAATAAGCCTTTTTTTCTTTAATGATAGCTTCATATGTCACTCTTACAGATATTATTTTCTGATAACAGTAAAGAAATAGACTCCATTATTATTATTACATTTTATAGAATTTCAGTTAACTCTAGCCCATGGTGACATTACACTTCAATGGCCTGGAGTTAGAGCCCT